TGGCCCCACAGCGGGGAGAGGGGACGGGCGGTGTTTGGGAGCTGGTGGAGGGATCCTGCCTGGCCCACAACCCTGCTCCTCCCCAAATCGTTGGGGTTGTTGCCGGGAGAGGAGAGAAACCTGGGGGGCTGCAGGGTCCCAGCAGGGACCGAGGGCACCCGTCCCCAGTGCCGCTGCTGCGGTGGGCTTGGCCCCCAGCCGTCCCCATCTCCACTTAAAAAATGGAAAATAAAAACCCCAAAGCCGATGTTGTTAGTGCGCTTTGGAGGCAGCCCCTGCGGTTGACCAGGGGAGAGTTCCTGCAGAAAGTGGAAAAAATTGCATTAGCGAATACACATCAAACCCAACCAAAGGCAGCCGGGGCACCGGCCAAGTTAATTAGCGGCAGTAACGGCTCTGCCATGGGCTGCAGGACCGACAGCGCAGCCACCCAGCAAACTTCATTAGGGCTGCGGCGTCATGCGCGTGCACCGGCCAGGTCCCCATCACCGCTCAGGAGCACGTGGGGAGCAGGTGACAGATCGGGGCATCCCTTATTTTTAGGAAGCCAGGAGGAAAAGAGCAGCACAGCAGGGGCGAGCTGGCTGAAGGGATGCTGGGGGACCCCAGCCCCGTGCCGAGGCAGGACCCGGATCCAAATTCCCACTCGGCAAAGCCTGGGGAGCCCCCGCCTCCGTAATCCCAAACGCTCCCATGCCAGGAGGAGCGGGGATGCAGTTGTGATGGAGCCATAGCAGACAGACAAATAAACACCACCTCCGAAAGTGGCTGTAAAAATAGATTAAGGATCGATATGGAAATCTGCCCAAAACAGCAGGACACTGCATTAAATTTGCTCATTAAAACCCTGAAGTTTTCCCACAGGCGCGCGTGCCACTGCCAGCAAGCTGGTCCTGGCGGCTCAGCATCTTCCCCAGCCACAGCAGCCTGGCGCAGGGACAGCCCAGCCCTCTGCCAAGGTCAGGGCTCGAAGAGCAGCCCCCTCCTTTGCTCCTTCAGTACAAGCAGTTCTCAAAAAAACCTGGTCCCTCCAGATTAAAGCAGCCAAATCGGGTAATTTTTTTGAGACTGGAAATGAGAAAAATGTCTTTTCATTTG